AGGCTGTTCGGAGTAATCTCAGGAAGTCTAGTTCTAGGAGATGTCCCCAAAGACCATGTGATTTCTGGGCAGGGGTACAGAACCAGAAATGAAGTCAGAATTCCCTTGGGAACCAGTGATTGCTTAGCTCTGTAGACTTTGTCTTTGGAGAGCTCTGTTCCTTTCCTTGACTCATCCCCACACTTTCCGTCAGGATATTATAGGTAGTATAATTAGTGGGACCAGAGAGCTGATGGCAGATCACTGAGCAAAGCCATGCCTCTTGCAGGGAAACATCTCTGGGCAGGCACTCTATTGACGGTGAGCCAAGAGTACCATTGTGCATAATGATTGGGACACATTCGGAAGGCATCTGTGCAGGGGTTGAGGACATGATCTTAAGTGTCTGACGGTTTTGGATGTGATTCCCAGCTACACCTCTGAGTAGCTATTCACACCTTTAGTTTCCCCATCTGCAAATCAAAAATAATACTCTGTACCTCATAAAGTCATTTGAAAGATTAAGTGATATAACATGTGTAAAGAGCTTAGTCTAATGCCAAAGAGTCAATAACGGGTAGCTGAATATTATCCTTCGCTGTTGGAATTATAGCTGTTTGTATTTTAAAATACTACTCTATTTTAAACGTAGGTGTTTCTTTAGTTTTTTCCCTGAAGTCCGTGAAGAAGTTTTCATTAATGAAAAGCATCCCAATTAGGAAAACACTTCTCTCCTACAGATCAGTTTGGGAGGGAGTCACTGATTATTTACCCTGAATTGCTGAATTTTGTAGCTCTTTAGCTCCAATGGTTTTGTTGGTAGTTTCCTCATTTTGATAATCCAGCTTCAAAGAATTCCATCCAGTTAGTGAGGCAAGTTATTCCTTTCCTGAAACCACACGGGTCCCTCTAAACTGAGTTCCTGCTCTTCCTCTGTTTGATTTCTCAAAACAGTTTTTGAAGATTTTAACCACAACTGAATCAAAACTAACCAGCCTGTAATTTCCTGGTATGTCCCTATGGCCTTTCTTTAAAACAAAACACACACACAAAATGGCATTACGTTGGCGGGTTTCCAGTATTTTGGGGTTTTGACTGGAGTAAGGTCTAAAAATGTCTGTGAAAGTGACCCTAATTTTTCTTTGCCCCTCCTTCAGAGCAAGCTCTGGGTTGTTTGTGGCTTCATCATGACGTCTTACCACATTTACGCACTTTTAATTTGGGGCTGTTTTAAGAAAATTTACCCAAACCATCTCTGCATAGTTCTTGACTGCGGACCTCCCTCTTTTCCAATTCTAGTACTTTGGAAAATAAGGCAACGTGTACTAAGTATACGAGCCAGAAAGAGACGGCACTATTCTGCTTTTACATGAAAGATATGCTAAAAATATCCAAGAAGCTATGGACTGGTTATTTGAATTCACAAATTAAAAGCAATAGTTTGGGGCACCAGGGTGGCTCAGTGGGTTAAAGCCTCTGCCTTCAGCTCATGATCTTGGGGTCCTGGGATGGAGCCCTGTATCCGGTGCTGCGCTCAGCGGGGAGCCTGCTTCCCCCTTCTCTCTCTGCCTGCTGCTCTGCCTACTTGTGATCTCTCTCTGTCAAATAAATAAATAAAATCTTTAAAAAAAAATAAAAGCACAGTTAGAATATATTTGGATGTTTTCCTAAAACTTAAAATATGCAAATTTTCTGAACTGGACACAGAGGCACAGGAAGACTAGATTTAGTTCAGCCGATTATTTAAATGGTTATTTTTTTTGTATTATAGTCATTTTGCATCTCTTTTTTCAATGATTGTTTCCTTTTAGTTGAATTCTCAATATATTTTAAATATATTCCCAATAAATTGCCTTAGCTTTAAATAAATGTTTAGATTAATATCTAATGTGGAAGTTGGAGAGAAACAGAAGTAAAAATGTGAATGATGCTATAATATTCAGATAATGACTACATTAAAACATGGATCAGAATAGAAACCATGTAATTTATTTTAAAATTATAATGAACATTATGAACATAGGATGTGCTTAGTATGTTGTTCCTCTAAATACTTGTTTCAATAAATGTTTGTTGAGTTAATAATTACCAACAGACTGACACTGCTAGAACTAAAAATAAAGAATAAGTGTCAAGATAATGATGTATGCAAGGAAAAGTCATTTCTAAACAAAGCACTCTCATTCAGATTTTAAGATATAACAAAATCCAATTTGAGAGTAATGGTATGAAAGAATCAGATTTTCTGAAATTCTAAAGCATATTTATAACAATAGAATGTTTTCTTCATGTATATTTGGAAAGAACCAATAAGGTGTTTCCAAATAGAGTTTTCAAATATTTTCGACTTAATTGCAATTAGAGGCAGGCGTTTGCCTTTCAGAAATTACTGTGCTAAAGGCTTCAAAACTGTTCTTTTAAAAAATATCTTTGCTTGCATTATTTTTTATAGTATTAATTAGCCAGCAAACTTTCCTCAAGAACAAAGCAAATGTAACGGTAAGCAGGGCCCACAGGGAAGTGCTACAGATTATTAAAATCAGTGGAATCTAAAATAATGACATTTTAACTGTATTTGGCAATTGGAGCTATATTAATTCACTACTTATCTTTATTTTTCGCCACATTTTTAAGAAAAACTTTGGCTGATTAAAACAGGACCGAACATAGAATGGTTGATTTGTTTCACTGGGGATAAAGAACCTGGACCTAATTATATTAGTTATATTTGTCCAAATCTTCTCCCTAAGTCTTTTCCGTAATTACCTGCTACGGATACTTTTTAAGCATTCATTAAAAAAAAAAAAAAATACAATTCTGAAACTTCAGCAAAGGAGATACAAAGCACGATTTGGGTTGCACAGTGGTCAGCAACAAAATTAGCATTTGAAAGAAAACATCTACATACATTTCGGGTTGCTGTTAAAAAGCTGAAGGGACAGTCACTCCCCTTGTAGGAATCTCAGAATCCCATCCTGGGGTCAGGAAAGATGAAGAATCTGGGTCAAGTCCTCTTTTCTTTTTTGCATTTTCTAATCCACAGCATGGGTCAGTTTTCCGTACTTCATACTTATTTTACTTTCTTCCAAACTCACTGGCTGACAAGCATTAACCTCAATTGTTCTAACTGACTGGTTGGGTGGTGGTGTTGAAATGAACAGAGATTATATCATCCCTCAAACAACTCTCTTCCTCTTGCCTTTACCAGGAGTATTTTCTGGACAGGACTCTATTCCAATCAGTTTTCATTCATTTACTTAGCACTTATTCTTATGTTGCAACTGAGAGATTTAGGGCTGGTGTTTGGGGAGCCCAATCTAAGGAAGACATCAAATTAGACTATGTAACTGTTGGCTCTTGATTGCTCAGAGTTCTCTTAGGCATCGATTACATATATACGCATATACATGTAAATCTAAAATTCAAGCCCCAATTCCTTTGGACTTGGAATTTTCAAAAAATAAACTAAGATTGTTTCTGTATCTTCAGAATCCCAGAACTGTATTATTATAGTTCACATTTCAAAGATATGTTGAGCAAAATCACTGCAGAAATATTTTTACATTGTCATGAGCTTCAAAAACTTTTCCTGAGCTGCCAGGATATTCCATGTACTGTTACTTAAAATTCGTGCACTGAAATCTAAAACTTTTTTCTATTACAAACAATTGCTGATTTAAAGTAGTTGGCAAACAAGTAAACGGATACTCTGTAGCATGTTAGGTTTCACTGCACAGAGCAAACAGAAGGCACAGAGATTTTCACAGGACTCTCGGTCCATTTTTTATAATCCAGATTCCCACGTAACATTGGAATTTAAAAAGGCGAGGAAAGATGTTTCTATACTAGTTTCAAATTTTCCCATTTTTCTTCTGCCAAGTCTTAAAGTCCCCGAGTATTTCTTAAGGTACCAAGCTCCCACACATGATGTAAAGAGCTTCGATGGATGGAAAACTGGACCATTATTTGTGTTCGTATGAATATAATTTTCCCCGGGAAACAGTACGCACCACCCTAGTAAAATGCCATATGGGGAATCTCTTTGAAAAACATAAAGCCCTCTACCACAAATCTAAGGTGGCATTATTATTTTGTCCTACAATTATCCTGTCAAGAGTCCAATTCAAATAGGAAACCTAGATTTGGGGGTCTTGCAAAGGTGAGGAAGGTATTATTGGAACATACTCCCTTTTCCCTTTTTTTCTTCCACGAACTGATTTTGCCTCTTCCACTAAGGGGCACAAAGAAACAGCTTACATGGAAGTCCATTTCGTATACACATGTGCACATACACATCACACATGTACACACAGAAACGTTTGGCTTTCCAAAAATATTTCAGCATGACTGGGAAAATAAGAAAAACCTCTCTTATTTTGAGTAATGATAATAACAAATGGGTTTGAACCTGACATCGTTTTGCTAAAGGTATTTTAGACTATTTTTGTTTTTTCAGATGAAAATACGAATCTTTGGAAAACACACGGATTGATTTCCATCAGCAAATGAAAAATCTACATGTGAAGAAACAATCAGGTGTGTGATAATGGAGTAGAAGTGATGGATGGCTGCTGAAATAGTCAGATTCTGAGGAAGGTACAGATGTAGCCCATTAGTTCAATAGGAACTCCTACTGAATATCAGATAAAGTATTTTAAATAGTTAGAGCCTGACTTTTGGGTTTTTTCACATGACATTTACTTCTCCTGACTCCGTCTCTCCTTGATTCCCTTCTTTGCTACCAGCATGGAAATAGACTACTAGGAAAACAACCTCAGGCGCTTGCTCTGACTCTTGTCCTATTTCTGCCCAAGGGAATTTATTTTTAATGGGTCTGCCTTTGAGAAAACAGAGTTCCTCCAATGGCTCTTTGGATGGCCTTTTCCCTGTTGTCAAGGCGACAGCTGAATGTGCCAGGTAACACTTAATGGAAGGCTTACGAAGAGAGGAAGTGACCTGAAGAAACCTGGCTCCATTTTCTCCCCTTTGCCCTCTTTAGAAGACCCACCATCACACAGTACCTTCTTTTCATTTTCCCGTCGCTGCTGGTCCTTCACTTTAACTTGGAGAAGCTGAAATTTCAAGAGTTTCCCTATCAGTGGTAGAGTTAATTTCTCTCCGCTGTCCATAATTGCCTTTGCTGCTATTAACACCTATGAAGAAACACACAATTAATAGGAAGAGTGGCATTTTGTAACCTTTGGCTCAGTTTGGTGTTGAGGAAAAGATGAAATGGTATTTCAGTTTTATAATATTCATCCTTTTGCAAAGGTGTCTCACTGCTGGCCAAAAGCATTAGAGAAAAATTCCCCATTGCCATAGAGAGGGGCATTTATCTCCTACTTTACAGAAATTGGGTCATCTGAAAATGAACTTATTTTTCCAAAGAGGCAGAAAGTGCTTCCCACAGTGGTGCTAGACTCAGACTCCCAAAAAAGGGGCAGAGGAAAGATACGCAGGGGCTCCCTTTAGGATGACTGATAGGTCCGTTTCGTGCTACAGAAAGTCTATTGTTTGGCATAGCCAGTCACCAAAGCTGTCAAACTTTGACTTATTACAACAGTATAAATTAAATAGGGTTTTATAATAATGGAAATAGGTATGTTAGCAATCTTTTACTTCTTGGTGACCGAATTCAAATGAAAGATAAAAACTGCTTGACACAGAGGTACCATAGGAATGTTTCTTCCCCACCCCCTTGCAATTTAATGTTGATCCTGTTGGTATGCAGCCTAATTGGGGTGAAATGAGGTTATTGAGTTTTCTTTGGGTGACGACAGCCACTAGGAACATACAGCTGTATTGTCCAGATGTGTGGCACTGACAGCCTGTTTTATGACTGCACTTTTTACAGCTTGTTTCCCCTAAATTTCACACAACTCTCTAACATCTGGGCCCTTTTCCTTGGAGCCCTATAACCACTTTATTTACTGCAAAAAAATAAAATCATGTAAAATATACCATAAAATGTTGTTAGGCATTTCTTTTTATTCGTGTTGCCTCCCTAATAAAGTTCACCTCTGCCGGAAGTACTGTCACAAAAGTAATCTGGTCAAAGTATTTTTCGACTTTTGTTTTTAGGCAAGCATTAAGATTTATTTATAACCTCGAGATGAATTAGGTGTTACTAAAATGTTCTGACATGTTGCTTTTCTCCCGCCTTCAGAGCAATTACTCCTCCGGGCGCATATGGTGTCAATTTCAGACCCTCTGTCTCAGACAATGACTATGCACACGGCATCTCATCAGGCTGCGTCTTGTCTGAGGTTCATACCAGCTCTTGGTCAGGGCTTTCCTGACCGATCTGGTTCCTGATGACTTTCCACTTTGCCAAAGGAAATAGCGGAAAGAAGGGGAGATGACTATTTTGCTTCTAACTGCAGAAGGCCCTGTGGATTATTCCAAGCCAAAATGTAATTGGACCTCTTAGAGACCTATTGCATCACAGAAGGGGAAGGGCCAGGGAAAAGAACTCCCTTAAAGCTGAAAAACCAAAGGAACAAACTAAGTGTCAGAAAGCTTAGCGTGTGTCTAAGCAAACACCCATCATGGAACAGAGAGCTTTGCTTTTTACGGCAGCTCTGCTTCTGCTACCACGATTTAGGGAAAGGGACCCGACGGCTGTGATTTCTGGGAGCAGGAAAGCATGAGGGTACACCTGCAGAGCTTCTCCATTTAATGATGAGCAGATTCAAGAGTGAAGGGAGTCCTAAGGGGACAGACGGTCACACGTTAAATGAAAGCTGTCCAATCGGGTCCAACCCCAAGGGAAGATGTATTTGGTTTGAAATGACATTTTTCAATACCAGTTCAACAGTGTGCTGACAGTCAGGCTGTTTTGGGACATCTGGTTCAAAATACACAAATTTGGCTTTTAAGAAACTCACAGCAGTCTCTTATGGGGCGTTGCCCGGTAATACAAATATAATGACGGTGTTGAAGGGAAGTCAACACCGGAATGGATTACCCAAGAGTGGTGGGGAGGCTCTTTCCCTGATGACCTGTGAACACAGGATATTTTCCTCTGTCTGGGACGGTTCGGGTGAAGCCTGCCTGGCGTCACGGTGATGGACGGGATGTCTCTGGAATGGCTTTCTAATCCTGTGTCTCTGTGAGTCTACAGATGTTACCTCACTGTGTTAAAATGTATTCAAAGCACAACAAAATGTCCCGAGAGAACGGTATTTTGCAGTCCATAAAAGTTATTTCTGGTCCATCTGAAACTATCTGTACAGAGCTTGTTTTAAAACAAAAATCTGGGGGTGCCTGGGTGGCTCAGTGGGTTAAGCCTCTGCCTTCGGCTCAGGTCATGATCCCAGAGTCCTGGGATCGAGCCCCACATGGGGCTCTCTGCTCAGCGGGGAGCCTGCTTCACCCTCTCTCTCTCTGCCTGCCTTTCTGTGTACTTGTGCTCTCTGTCTGTCAAATAAATAAATGAATAAAATCTTTAAAAAAAAACAAAACACAAAAATCTGGCATGGCATCAAAATAACTGTGATCTCCTACTGTGAAATAGGGAGATTAGTGATGGGAAGTGTCACTGGAATCACTGGGTAACCATGTTCTTCTGATGCATGGACACACAGTGAGTCAGAGAAGTGGCAGGGCAAGGCAGCACCGAGGAGGGCTTGATGGACGTTCCGTTCTCCCTTGGGGCAGCCCATGGAGGCAGGGTCCATGCCAACGAGGCACAGAAGTACATGTAGGTGGCACCAGGAGCAGCGGCAGAAACCGGGCATACCTGTCCTTCCCCAGGGCTGCTCAGAGGATATTTGACTCCATTTTCCCTGCGTGCTTCCCCCAAAGGGAATGATGGTTGGAATCCTTGAGATAATATTTTTTAAAGGTTTTATTTATTTATTTGAGAGAGAGACAGAGGTAGTGAGAGCACAAGTGCAGAGGAGAGAGAGAAGCAGTCTCCCTGCCAAGCAGGGAGCCCGATGTGGGTCTCAATCCCAGGATGCTGAGATCATGACCTGAGCCGAAGGCAGATGCTTAACCGACTGAGCCACCCAGGTGCCCCAATCCTTGGGATAATTCATGAAAATGAAAGTCTCTGCTGAACTCAAAATCTGAGACTGAAATTTTTTATGGTTTGTGGGTCACTCCTAAAAGAGGCAGAGAAAGAAAAATGTTTACAGATTCATTTCTACTTGAAAAGGCATTCTTCTCACACTCCATGATTCACAATTCTACCCCATTAGGAGTCAGTGGTTTGGTTTCAGATGAAAAACAAATCCTTAAAGGGTCTTTGTTTGAAGGATGAGTCTTTGAAGAAAGAAGAAATAACTGCATTTAGAGGGAAATGCAACTCTTCATGGAACATTCCAGAAAGACTTTCCTTCCTCACCTTACTTGAAGTAATTGACATAATAATCAAGCCTTCAACCTTCCATCATTGTAAAGGCTACCTGTCCAATATCTACTCAATATGAGTTCGCATGTGCGTGCATGCTGGGGAGACAGACTGACCTGTGGTAGGTATAGGGATGATAAGGGATACAAGTCAAGAGAAAATGGGAGCAATGAGCTGGTCAGGGTTGGGAATAATCAGGCAAAAACGAGAGCTTCCAGAATGAGGCAGAAAAATAGTCCTAAAGTGGGTTAAAACCTGGGTACTTGTCAAGCTGAAATACCAACTAAATGAGCCTGGCATGAACCAGAAACTTAAAAACAAGTCTTATGGGCAAATGAGACTCATTAAAATGGGGTAGAACTATTGCCAGGCAAGGTCTGTATGCGTCTCCTGGATCTATTCAGGCCAGGACTTTGGGACTGCCAGGGCTGGAGGGGGAATCCTGGGCCAATCTACCAAAGGTGTTTGGTTCTGGGAAAGCCTAGTGTAAGGCGAAACTTAGCTTGGGAGTGGAGCTTGAGGAAAGAAGACACGTGGGTTTTCTCACATCTGTGAAGATCTTATTTTGAGGGTACATGCCCTTTGTTAGAAAATTTGTGATTCTGTGCATACTAAGAAACAAAAGCATTTCCCTCTTTATCGCTGACCTGGCTCAAAGACTTATATCATATTTACTATCTAATGAGCTGGTCCAACAAAAATATATTGAATAAGCCAAATTCTTCCCTTTCCTGGGGATCAGGCCCACCCACAGACACTAGTGTCCTCCCTTTCCCTCTCCCAACACTCCTCTCTGTGCTTCCTCCCACGTTGGCAGTAAGCACAGCATCTGCTGGGACAACAGTTAGAACTGTTTCACAGATCCCCATGGAAACCAAATGTAAGCATGTGTGCAAGTGTGTGCACATACAAACCCATATGCATACATGCATGTGTACATATATATATATGACAGATGATAAACAGACAGATAGGACATCATGAGGCCTGCTGTCTGGTTTCCCTGGTGAGCTTACAAGGAAACATACAGAGCAGCTTGAATCTTTGCCAACATGGTCATACTCAATGCAGGTGAGTTCTGAGCAAAGGTAAAGATTTTGGATCTACATTTCTCCTGCTGGGAGCCGCCCACAGAAGACGGTGGTGGAGGGGAGGGAAAAGTGTGGTTGTGAGGGGCAGAGGAGGGTGGGGTGATGGGAGAGGGATGAACAGAGGTAAGACAGCCCTCTAGGAACTCCAAGCGGCCACCAGTGTTCCTAAAAACAAATAAACAAACAAAAAACCCTTTTCACTTCAGGGCCCTCCTTAGGGGTCCATGATGTTTGTTACAGCAGCTGAAATAATGCACCGGGGTATGATTTCACATCGAACCTATTATCCTTAAGTCAATGACTTAGGGTTGGTTTGGATATGCAAAGACCCCGGCAAACAGAACACAGTTCAGGACCTTGACTCCATCCAACTAACACAGGACTGCATAAACAATTTTGACACACAGAAGATCTAACTCTTACAGGTATGTATGTATTCTTTCGTTCATTTGGTATCACATTGCTTTGAGTAGATCATTTCCTTAATATATGACTGATTAAGTGCGATAGTTCATCATCACTGTCAGAAGTCCAAACAGTACCAGAAGGATGTCCAATGGAAAGAAAATGTGTCCTCAACCCGCTCCACCATCCCCTCTTTCCAGAAGGAAATCCTTGTGTATCCTTATGTAATTTCCTGTACATTAATAAACATACATGTGTATATCCTATATGTTTTAATACCATTGGGATTATGCTTTCCCAT